CCCCGTCGCCACTCTCCTCCCCTGCATAGTCTCCAGCTTCGGGCCAGCGCACTGCCCTCTCCTCAGACTCCAGCCCTGTGCCCGGTCAAGAAGAGACGCTCCGCTCCCAGAAGAGGCCCGGGATCGTCCCCGGACCCAGGTGGGGAAGAGGAGTTGGCTGTGCGGGCCTCCCCTGAGGGTCCCCAGTGGGCTGCATGGCAGCGCCCCCGCTGGGCCGCCTGGTGCTGGCCCATCTGCTGGTGGCCCTGTTCGGCATGGGCTCCTGGGCCTCGGTCAACGGCGTCTGGGTGGAGCTCCCCGTGGTGGTGAGGGACCTCCCCGAAGGTGAGTGAGCCACAAGGGACGCCCTGATGGCTGCCCCAGGGCCAGTGACCTACAGGCCCCTGATGAGCCCCACCTTCTTACAGGTTGGAGTCTCCCCTCATACCTCTCTGTGCTGGTGGCCCTGGGGAACCTGGGTCTGCTGGCCGTAACCCTGTGGAGGAGGCTGGCCCAGGGCAAGCACGAGCAGGTCCCAATCCGGGCGGTGCAGCTGCTGAACGTGCTGGGCACAGCGCTGCTGGCCCCACTGTGGCACCGAGTGGCCCCTGTGGCTGGGCAGCCCCACTCAGTGGCCTTCCTGACCCTGACCTTGGTGCTGGCCCTGGCCTGCTGTGCTTCCAACATCACTTTCCTGCCCTTCCTGAGCCACCTGCCCCCGCCTTTCCTCCGGTCCTTCTTCCTGGGCCAGGGCCTCAGTGCTCTGCTGCCCTGTGTGCTGGCTCTGGCACAGGGCGTCGGGCGCCTGGAGTGCGCGCCTGCCGCCACCAACGGCACCCAGGGGCACCCCCGCTACTTCCCGGAGCGCTTCTCGGCCAACTCCTTCTTCTGGGCGCTGACCGCACTTCTGGCCGCCTCGGCTGCCGCCTTCCACGGTCTCCTGCCGCTGTTGCCATCCCTGCCTGTGCCGCCTGGACCCACCGGGGGCCCAGGGATGGGCCTTCGGGTGGGGGCCCCACGGGGTGGTTCTGAAGAAGAGGGGGAGGAGGTTTTGCCCTTGCAGGAGCCACCGGCCCAGGCGGCAGTCGCCACCCCCACCTCCGCCCCAGAGGCTCCCCACCTACTGTCGGCCCGAAGCGCCTGCCTGTTGAGCCTGCTGACCCTCACCAATGCGCTGACCAATGGTGTGCTCCCCGCCGTGCAGAGCTTCTCCTGCCTGCCCTATGGGCGCTTGGCCTACCACTTGGCCGTGGTGCTGGGCAGCACGGCCAACCCCCTCGCCTGCTTCCTGGCCATGGGCGTGCTGAGCAGGTGCGAGGGGTCCTAGCCCCCCTGAGGGAGGGCTCAGGGCCTGTGCAGGCGAGACTAACCCTGACTCTCCACTCCTGCAGGTCCCTGGCCGGTCTAGCTGGCCTCTCTCTACTAGGTGTGCTCTTTGGGGCCTACCTGTTGGTGCTGGCGGTCCTCAGCCCCTGCCCGCCCCTGGTGGGCACCTCTGCAGGGGTGGCCCTCGTGGTGAGTACCAGCTGACCCTACGTGTGTGTTGGGGGCTGTGAGCAGGAAGGGTGGCAGCCAGGGCTGGGCCGGGCTTCAGCCTATTTGGTTCCACCCTCAGGTGGTGTCCTGGGTGCTGTGTCTTGGCTTGTTCTCCTACGTGAAGGTGGCGGCAAGCTCCCTGCTGCACGGCGGGGGGCAGCGGGCACTGCTGGCAGCTGGTGTGGCTATCCAGGTGGGCTCCCTGCTCGGGGCCCTGGCCATGTTCCTTCCCACGAGCATCTACCACGTGTTCCGCAGTGGTGAGGCCTGCGGCGACCCGTGTGGCTCCTGAGCTGGGCAGCAAGGTCACCCGCACAGGCTGTTGTTACCTCTGCCTGGAGTGCTCCGTGCCCCTGGCTGCCCACGTACTGGCACACTCCGGACACCTAGTCACTCCCCAGGGGACTCTGGCACTCGGGCCATCGCGCGGATCAGGGCAGACCCCACCTACAGACTGGTTCCCCTGCCAAACCTAGGCACTTCCTGAAGGATTTGTACAATAAAGCCTTTTACTTTTGGTAACGTCTTAATCCTCACCTTCTTCTCTCCCACCCCCAGCCCTGCCTGTCTAGGAGTGGCCCCAGCTCACCCTCCTTCCCGGGGCTGGGGCACCAAACTGCCTGCAACCCTTAGTTTCTCTTCTGAGCCCAGAAACTAGCACCCCAAGACCTCTCCTTCAGAGAGCTGCAGAGGTCAGCCCTGGCTCTGCCTTCTGGACCTCCTGCTGCCCAAGGCACCTGGTTCACAGGTGGCCTCCCTTGGGGGAGGTGGGAACAGGGGTCAGGCAGGATGGAGTGGGCCCAGCCAGGGTCCCTGTTTCTCACCATGGCGCCTTGCTTGTCTGTGACTTAAGCGAGGGTTAGTACCAGGTGCAGGCTGGGTGAGGATCCTCAGAAAGACCGGGACAATTGGGGCCAGCCAGCCTGTCCATCTGGAGACCCTGCCCAAGAGGATTCCCCTGCACCAGCCCTCAGCAGTTGGAACCCTTTGATTGTTGGACCCTGTCAGGACTGGGGTCGTGGCACTGACCACAGCTGACCCAGGCTGGTGGCCTGGGGCTCCCCAGTGAACTAGACACCCCCTGGAAGGCTTATGTGGCTGAATGGGGCAGGTGGGACTGGGGTGCAGGCAGAAGCTGGCTCCTGTTGACTTGGGCAGGCAGGCAGCAGAGGCCAGCCTGGTTGTGACCTGTCCTGGCACCCGGCCCAGTCTCTGCCCCTGTCTTGAGGGCAGGAGATATGGAGGGAGGTGGCTCTGTCCTGGCCCCTCCAGAGCCAGTCCTGGACTTCAAAGGCTTCCTGCCCTGGACATGGCCACATGGGGACCTTTGAAGGGTTTCCTCTTCCTCCTCTTGCCCCTCCCTGTCTAAGCAGGACCCCTAAGAAGGATGAGGTGTCTGGGGGGGATTCCTCATTGGCCCAAACACGAGCCCTGGCGTGAGGTGGGCCAGGCTCCCAGCTGGCTCGGATGTCCTGTCCTGAGCCAGGAGGCCCTGGTGCCCCCTGCTGCCTGGTAGGGTTGTCAGCACTGGCCTGGGCAGCAGGGCCTCCATCCCCTCACGGAGGCGCCAGCCCTGACTTTGGGGGCTTCTTGCCAGCCCATCAATCTCTGAGGTGTAGGCCCCCTGGGCTCTCTGGGTGCTGGCAGACATGTTACCCAGCCCCAGGGCCACAGAGTTGGCCACCCTGGGTGGAAAAGTGAGGGACTTGACCTTGCGGCCAGGAGGCTGTGAGGCTACTGAGGCTTCTGGCCGAAGCTGCCCCTTGAAGTCCCCACAGCCCTTCCTGTTGAAGGCAGGCAGGAAGCAGGACTGGGCTCACCAGGAAGAGCCAGTCCTTGAGATGGGCCCAGGGGGCTCCTGGAGGCAAGGCCCAGCCCCACCCCCTTGGAGCTGGGCACACACTGGCCAGCAGCCAGACAGTGGTGGCCAGTAAGGATCACAACCCGCCCCTCAGAGTGGGCCTGGGGAAGTTAGACAACCCCATATGGTTAGGGATGTGGGCAGGACCCCAGTGTCTGGCCATCTCTAGAGGGCAGTCTTCAGGGGGCCAGTGCCTGACCCCTGAAGCCCCTAAACTGCCACAGAAAACTTGGCTCAGGACACTGGATTGGGCCACCAGGCCCAGCTGTCTGCCTTTGGTGGGAGAGTGTTGCCCCCAGGCTGAGATCTCCAGGGCAAGGCTGGCTCTTGTGGCTGGTGTGTGGAGGTGGAGGGCCTGGTCTGCAGGCCCTGCTCAGCCTGCCAGAGCCCCAAACAGGCCTGAGAGCAGTCCCACTGACCCATCTCTCAGAGCTCCCCACCTGCGCCAAGGATGGCCCTGAAGGAGCTCCCTCTCCAGTGGAAGCCAGAGGCAACCCCAGTGTTTGGGACCCCAGAAAATTGGGTGTGGGGCTGGGGGGACGTGTCTGCTACGGTGAGGAGTGGGAAGAGGTCTTAACTGATTGCACAATGGGCCCCTCTAGCTGCACCCCATCTAGCTCACAAACTCGCTGCTGGCCCACTCCACTCTCTGGGTCAGCCCCCCATTCTACGTTGTATGGGATTCTGGTGCCTGCCTGCCCCAGGACCCCCACAACCTCCATGTGGGCAAGCGTGTGACGGACCCGGCAGGCTGGTCACGCGCCCATGCTCTCGGCACCTGGGTTGAGCTGGGCAGCGGGGGCTGCAGAGCCACACCGACTCCCCATAGGATCTGCTTGTGGGCGTAGGACCAGACAGCCGTGGGAGCGACAGCTTAGGTGCCCAGCCCAGGACAGGGCCACCAGGGGCCAGCAGCGCTGAGCGTGCTGGGATCCCCTGGGATCCAGTTGAATTTGAAGACAGACTCAACAGTGATTTCCTCCCGTGTGTGAGCAAGTGTGCGCCGGGTTTCCTGCGTGCACAGTGGGGGGTCAGCGTGGAAATCCATCTCTCACATGCCCCCCTTCAAGTGCTTGGGTCAGCTCTGACCACAGGCCACCTTTAATGGCTTTCCTAGAGCACACTGTGACAGTGTGCTCTCCGAAAGTGCTCCTTAGTGTTAGGGAGGTCTGTTCCTCAGGGAAATGCCACTCAAAGCCATCCTGAGATGCCATCCCATGGTCCCCAGGATGCCAGAGCAGAAATCTGATTCCAGCAGGGCTGGGTAGGTGGTGGGAAATCAGAGCCTGTGCCTGCCGGGGGACTGACCCAGGAATGCAGACACCCCTACCAGATGGTCCTGCCATCCCACTACCTGCTCTGCTCCTAAGAGGAATGGAAAAGTACATCCAGAGCAGCATGAGTCCTAAGCCCCAAAGTGCCCACTAGTTGACCAGCGGACACACAGAATGTGGCCCATCCAGACAGGAGTGACATACACCGTGGCCTTGGAACACGAAATAATTCCTTAAAATAAAGCAGTGTCTCCCTCTCTATGTTTAATGTACCATCTATCTTCTCAACAGCCTGCTTCTCAGAAGAACCCTAACTGATATGTGAGGGAGTGTCGTGAACAGGCGTATGCTAACAAAGAGCCTAGGTGAAATGAAAAATTCCCAAGAAACACACAAATCACTAATGGAGGATTAGACTATCTAAATCCACCTATCGTACGTGAAGAGGCTAGCCTGGCAAAGGGACACTTCCCATCCAACTGCAATGCCCGGAATAACTTCAAAGGCTCTTCTGGCCGGAGCCTTTGAGCCTCCCACCACGCCCCGTGTTTTCCTGCCGGGTCTAGGGAAACTAGATGGTAGGGGAAGAGACAGGTTGGAGTCAGGATTTGGCCTGAGTGTGATTGCTCTAGTGCCGTAATTGCTAACCACAAGGGCAATGGTTCAAAACCACCAGGCACTCCACGGAAGAAAGATGGGTTTTTTTATTCCTGCTAAGAGTTACGTCTCTGCGGGAATGGGGAGCTGATAGCATTGATGATCATGTAACTCCACTCGATGGAATTGAACAACAGAATGGTATGTGAATGGATATATTGGATTGTGTAAAATATGTCAATAAAACTACTATTTAAGAAAAGGTCTCAGAAACTCAGGGGGCAGTGAGTTCCTACACCCTGCCCTGTCGGGTCGCCATGAGTCAACATCCACTCAATGGCAGTGAGGGTCCCCGCCCCCCTATTTATAAAATGAACCACCCAGAAGCTGCAAGGGCATGAGGTCCCACTACCAGCAAGAGAAAACAGCCAGAAGTGTGAGCTTGTCCCTTCCCATGGAGCTTCCTGGTCCCGGACACAGCTGTGACACCAGAGGGGCAGGAGCCGCAGAGCCAGGAGACAGAGGTGGACATCTCAAGATGGCCCATGGAGCAAGTCAATCTGAGTGCTTTAGAGCCAGGAGGCTAGCTTGTGCAGTGGGGTGCCTCTGGGCACTTAATTGGGGGAGTTGGATTTGCTGGCACAGAGCTGGAGCTGAGTGCAGAGTAGCATGCCCTTTGGGCATTTATTGGCAGCCCTAAGCTGTTTTCTAATATCGCCTGAGCAGTGCAGGGGTCAGGCCAAGTGGCTGAGGGCTAGAGAGAAACGTGCCTGCAGGCACAGAGGAGGAAATACTAACCTGACTGACGACTGTATCCTGAACCCTAGCTTCCTGAGTAAACCACCAGTGTGCATGTCTTCTGTGCGCACAGTGTGGCCCCTGCAATACAGAAGTCAAGGGGAGAGTGCACTTGGGCAGCACAGGCTGCAGTGGGAGGGACTGGGAGAGGAGCCTGGCCCAGGGCAAGGGTGACTCAGCACAGCCCCCCTCCCCCCTTGTGGGGTGGGCCCTGCTCTTTGTTCTCCCTCTTGACCCATTTTAAATTTGCTCTAGTCTTTGGTATTTTGCTTTTTTTTTTCTTATTGAGCTTTTTCTGTTTTAATTTGTTATTATTGTTGGGGGTTTTAGGTATTGTTTCTGTTTTTTAATAGGCTTTTGTGTATATGAAATCCAGGATAGGTAAATCTATAGAGACAGTAACTGGATGAATCATTCTTTGGGATGATGGCAGGGGAGGGGTGGGGCGTGAGGAGCTAAGAACAGTGGGTACAGGAAAGAAGACAATGTGCCGAAACTGATTGTGGCGATGACCGCACAGCCCTTTCCAGTATGATTGAACGGTTTAATTGTCTGATGTGTGAATTCTATGTTGAAACAACTGTTAAATGAAAGGGGGAGACGTTCCCACCGCCCCCACTGTTGCCCCAAGCCACTGTCCACGCAGCTCCAACCACCCAGCTTGGCTCCGAGGTCTGGCCACTGACCACTTGGCATTCTTGCAGCATGGCAGACGTTGACAACAAAGAACAATCTGAACTTGGTCAAGATTTGGATGATGCTGAAGAAGAAGAAGAAAGTGGTGAAGAAACAAAAATCCAGCGCGTCAGCTGACGGTTCAGATGATGCAGTTCTCGGGTTCTTGCCTCCCACCCAGAAAGACCGGAGGGGTTGATGGACACAGCAACAGAACACGTCCGAAGCTTGCTAGGGTAGGTCAAAGACAAGTGCTTGCTCTTGAAAACCTTCAGGTTAAATGTGCAGAGAGAAGCCACATTCCACGAGGAAGTTCC